TAGATAATGGGCACTTGTAGATGTGAGCGTGTAGAGCTTCCCTTTGTCTTTCACGCTAAACTGCGGAGCTTAGATGTGCCATTTATGCTGCATCATAATGGAAAATGTATTGAAAGCCAAAAATGTTTTTAAATGTTTTGGATAGGGTAGGGAAAAATGTATTTTCTGTTGTCTGCATATTGTTGGGGAGATTTCCCTTGATATCTTGTTGTAGAGAAAAAACCTTCCAATGTCAAGATAATTCTCTTTTATTCAGCTGTCACAGATGTCCTTATTGGAGATTTTCCCTCACTCCTAGCTCTGGTGGCAACTCTAAAATTCCATCCCTTCTTTCTCAGTAACAATGGTAACTAGGACAAACAGAAGAGTAAATCTCCCCAACAGGGGCACAGACAGCAATAAAGACTTGACACGGAGGGGGGGATTTACTTAACCTGGAGAGTGCAAAATCTGGTGCAACTCTGCAGAGAAACCAATCTGGTTTTATTGCCAAGGCCTAATTGAACAAGCTGAAGTTAGAAGCTGATTGTGAGTGCACCAGCTATAGTAAATCTACCCTTAAGGCTGCTTTCACACTGATCTATTCTTTTGCGCTAAAAAAGGCAGAAAAAAAGTTTGACCACGTATTTCTATGGAACTCTTCACACTGATCCTTTGCAGGTTAGGTGTGCTTTTTAACCACTTACCTACTGGGCACTTTCACCCCCTTCCTGCCCAGGCCAATTTTCAGCTTTCAGCGCTGTTGCACTTTGAAAGACAATTGCGCGGTCATGCAACACTGTACTCCTATGAAATTTTTGTAATTTTTTTGAAACAGATAGAGCTTTCTTTTGGTGATATTTAATCACCACTTTTTTTTAATTTTTTGCTAAGCAAACCAAAAACAACTGAAAATTTTGGGGAAAAAAGTTTTTATTAGTTTCTGTTATAAAATTTTGTAAATTAGTAAATTTTCTCCTTCACTGATGTGCGGTAATGATGCTGCAGTGATGGGCACTGATAGGCTGCACCAATGGGCACTGATAGGCTGCACCAATGGGCACTGAGAAGAGGCACTGATGGACACTGAGAGGAGGCACTGATGGGCACTGATGAGGAGGCACTGGTAGGTGGCACTGATGGGCATTTGCAGGCATCACTGGTGGGCATTGACAGACATCACTGATGGGCACTGAAAGGCAGTACTCATATATGACACTGAAAGGCAGCACTGACTGGCACTGTCAGGCGGCACTGACTGGAACTGTTAGGTGGCACTGATAGGTGGCACTGACAGGCACTGATAGGCGGCACTGACAGGCGGCACTGACTGGCACTGATAGATGGCACTGATTGGCAGCACTCATAGGTGGCACTGATTGGCACTGATAGGTGGCACTGACTGGCACTGATAGTGACATTGACACTGAAAGGCAGCTCAGATGGACACTGATATGTGACATTGATGTGCACTGGTAGGCACTGATATGTGGCATTGATGGGCACTGACAGGTGACACTGATGGGGCTCCACTGATCATCAGAGTCCTGATGATCAGTGTAGATGTCCCCTCTGAGGAATGCCTATTACCAGCTCTCCTCTCCTCACAAGCTGTCAGCGTGATTTACATGCGATCATGTACGCCGGTGGCGCGCACGCACGGTTAGAGTGGTAGGACATCATATGAAGTCCTCCCAGAACGAGAGAACCACCACCCGTCCATCATTTCCTTACAATCCTTCTTACTGCTTTTTTGCTGCAGGTTTGGTACAGTAAAAAAACACCAAAAACACACCTTCCTATTGAATTCAATGGAAAATGTGGCAAAAATGCATAAAAAACACATCAAATATGTGCCTGCTGTGCTGTTTTGGTATGGTTTTTAATTCACATGTCCTGTAAAAAATGCACCATAAATGCAATGAAAACGCTGCAAAAACGCATATGTGTCTTTTGTTGAGTATTTGCTGCGGATCAGTGTGAAAGTAGCCTAAGTCTCAACCTTTCCCACACTATCCAAAACAAAAAAAACCCAGTTTTACCTTTACATAAATCTTTATTTAAATAAATAGTCTTAAATGTAGAAATAAACATACTTTTAAAAAATGTTTCCACCTCAGATGCAAAGCAAGTAAACCAAGATAATCTAAGTAGAAGATATCTTTCTTCTGTCACTTCTCTCATTAGATGAGAAATAGATATAAGGAAACATAAGCTGGTCATACACTGAAAGAAATTTTGATCAGTGTGTGGGCTACCTTGCTCAACAGAAGTCGATTCTTTACTCGATTTCTGTCAAAGGGATATGTTGGAAAAATCCCCATTAATTAGTGGCTGCAGCCAATCAGCTGTAGTTGCTGAGCAGTGTATTCTGACAGGCATGATTTCCACTGTCAGAAGACAATATCCTAGTAGGGGGGATTCCTTAATCCACTATTTACAGTGCCTCTAAATCCTGATGTTTTTTACATTAATGCACTCTCGGCAATTAGGTAAAAAGCCTTCAGTGTGGTGTTGCATCCCAACTCCCCCCCCCTTATACTTAACTGAGCCCTATCTTGATCCAGCAGTGTGCACAAGAGCAGTGGCTCTCACGGCTCTCTCTCATTATTGGACAGAGAGGCAGCATTGGAAGCCCTTGGCTCCTGCTGCTATTAATCACAGCCAGTGAAGGGAAAGCATGGAGTTGGTCCGAGCCATGTTCTGTGTGACACACAAAACCAGCTCGGGAACAAGTATACACAAGTTCCCCCTGTAGTGTGTGTAACAAACGCAATGCCCAACCCCTGCCCTTCTCACCAACTTGTGACAAAGGGCCAGCCAATCTCACACCGTGCTGTCACTTGCACTAACAATGCCACTCTCAGGTACACCCTGCACAAAGATTTTCCAGCTCGCAGGGCCACAGTCTAGGTGCATGCAGCCTGAGAGTGACTGTCACTGTGTTAGGTTAATCAAACTCCAAACTGCCACCAGATAGCTTTGGCCTACCAACCCTTCACAATGTTAGCAAGAACAAATGTGAACAATAACGTATGTAACACACACTGTCACTGCAGACAACTATATTCCGAGTATTATTATATACAGTAGCACTCTTCAAGAGACAGGGATTCCTTAGTTTGCATTAAAAGCTTTAGAGACGGTTTCAACACTTTTCAAAATAGGGTTTATTACTAAAAAGGTCAAAATGGTGCAATTTAAATATTTACAGAAAAAAATGTAACAAAGACATAAAGAGGACAATAAAGCAACTGTCAGGAATGGACTGGCCAGCAATAGTGGGACTCAGCTGCCTTATGAGCTGCAGTACCAGGGCTGGCCCAGCGGGTGCTCCCAGCAATCAGAGACTCAACCTTGCAGCCAGTCAAACACCTGGAACTAATTATACTGGTGTATTTAAGGGACATTCAGACCTGCAGACTCTGCCTTGGTGTTGTGTTTCTCTTGGGCCCTGCATCCTGTTCCTGCTCCCTGTTCCTGTTCCTGTCCCTCTTCCTGTCTGATTCTCTGCTGACCCTGCTCTGATCCCTGGCTTGTCTGACCATTCTCCTCTGCCTGACCCTCTGTACCACGCTGCCCGCTACCTGCTGAACCTGGCCTGTGACCCCGACCATTCTCCGCTTGCTCCCCCTGTACCTACCTGCCCAATTGATATTGATCCGGCCTGCCTGACGACGCTTGCATTGTATGTACTGTTATCTGTGGGTGGTTGGTTTGGTTCGTTTGCACTGTGTTATGTTTTAGTATTGCACTGCGTTTATGTTTGTATGGTTAGTGTTATTAAATTACATTGTTTATAACATATCTGAAGTCTGCGTTTCCCTGCGTCAGTCACACACCTCTGGTCATACCCGGGAGCCCTGACATTACACCAAGGCCAATCCTGACCAGAAGTGGCTGCACAGGGAAGCCATCTTGGTTTGTTGATGGGAAGGATGGATCTGGATGAGGTTGTGTATTTATATCTGCTAGTGTTTGATGACAGGGAGTATGCTTATCAAACTCTGAAGGAGTATCCCCGGGATGAACTGCTAGAATGTATACGGCTCGCTCATGTTCTAGTAGATCAGGGCACAGAGTTCTCTGAGGTGCAGCCTTTGATTGAGGTTTGTGCTGAGTTGGTTTCATCTGGTACCCCCGAATGCAGGGATGAATTTTTGCCACCATTTAGTGCAGACCAGGTAGAGTCCCTGGTATGGTTATTAGAGGATGATGTGGGTTACTTTCTGGAGCGTTATTCCACATGTTCACCACAGGTACTAAGAGACTGTATAAACGCAGTGCAGTCATTGACCAGACAGGCTTTGTGTAAGCTCAGCTTTGTTCAACCCATACTGCAGACATGGACAGACTTGTTGCACCCAGCCTCAGTCAGCTTACAAAAACCCCGTCCTGCTTCTAATCTATTTCCTCAAAACTCTATTCCTGCATTCCCAACAGCTCCTCCTGCCCTGCTATCTACCGCATGTCAGTCCCCTGTTCCCACTCGCTGCACCTATCCTGCCTTTAACCCTGTAAAAAAGCCCTCTGTAGCAACTGCTCCCTCTCCTGTTCCATCCTCCAGTTCTTCTCTGTCTCCAGCTGCTCCATTCGTTTGCAGACCTGCGTTTACTTGCAGTGCTCCAGTAGTTAAAACCAGAAAAAAGCGAAAATTCTTTCCAACCAATACCATCCTGCCAGTATCCAAACCGGTGAGCCTGCCGTCTGAGAACCTGCCTTCCGTGGTTCAGCCTGGTGCCTCGGCACCCGCCTTTCAGCCTGATGCCTCTATTCAGCCTGGTGCCTGTACCCAGCCTGATGCCTCTACTCAGCCTGGTGCCTCTACTCAGCCTGGTGCCTCTACTCAGCCTGGTGCCTGAAGCCTCTACTCAGCCTGGTGCCTCTACTCAGCCGGATGCCTCTACTCAGCCTGGTGCCTCCACTCAGCCTGATGAACTGATCCAGCCTGATGATCCTATTAGGCCAGTTGACTCGATACCCGCTGTTGATCCAGAGACGATCCGGTACCTGATCCAGAGCCCGCTGTCGAGCCAGACAATCCGGTACCTGATGACCCGGTGCCCGCTGTCATACCTGGTGACCCGATACCCGCGGTCGAGCCAGACAATCCGGTACCTGATGACCCGGTGCCCGCTGTCGTGCCAATTGACTCAGAGCCCGCTGTCGTACCTGGTGACTCGGTGCCCACTGCCTTGCCAGATGACGCGGTGCCCGCTGGCGAGCCAAATGACCTGATGCCTGGTGACCCAGTGCCCGCTGTCATACCTGGTGACCCGATGCCCGCTGTCGAGCCAGACGATCCAATGCCTGGTGACCGGTGCCCACTGCCTTGCCAGATGACACGGTGCCCGCTGGCAAGCCAAATGACCTGATGCCTGGTGACCCAGTGCCCGCTGTCATACCTGGTGACCCGATGCCCGCTGTCGAGCCAGACAATCCAGTACCTGATGACCCGGTGCCCGCTGTCGTGCCAATTGACTCAGAGCCCACTGTCGTGCCTGTTGACTCAGAGCCCACTGCCTTGCCAGATGACGCGGTGCCCGCTGTTGAGCCAAATGACCTGATGCCTGGGTTACCCGATGCCCGCTGTCCAGCCAGACGATCCAATGTCTGACCCAGTGCCAGCGGTCATGCCAGTTGACTCGGAGCCCACTGTCGTGCCTGGTGACTCGGTGCCCGCCGCTTCGCCTGGGGGCCCGAGACCTGTCGCTCCGCCTGGGGGTCCGGCGCCCCGCCGCTCCCCTGGGGGTCCGGCGCCCCCGGCTCCGCCTGGGGATCCAGCGCCCGCCCGCCCCGCCTGGGGGCCTGAGACCTGTTGCTCCGCCTGAGGGCCCGAGACCTGTCGCTCCACCTGGGGGTCCGGCGCCCGCCGCTCCGCCTGAGGGCCCGAGACCTGTCGCTCCGCCTGGGGGTCCGGCGCCCGCCGCTCCGCCTGAGGGCCCGAGACCTGTCGCTCCGCCTGGGGGTCCGGCGCCCGCCGCTCCACCTGAGGGCCCGAGACCTGTCGCGCTCCGCCTGGGGGCCCGAGACCTGTCGCTCCGCCTGGGGGCCCCGAGACCTGTCGCTCCGCCTGGGGGCCCGGCGCCCGCCGCTCCGCCTGGGGGCCCGAGACCTGTCGCTCCACCTGGGGGTCCGGCGCCCGCCGCTCCGCCTGAGGGCCCGAGACCTGTCGCCCCCCCTGGGGGTCCGGCGCCCGCCGCTCCGCCTGGGGCCCGAGACCTGTCGCCCCACCTGGGGGTCCGGCGCCCGCCGCCTGCCTGAGGGCCCGAGACCTGTCGCTCCGCCTGGGGGTCCGCTGCGCCCGCCCGCTCCGCCTGAGGGCCCGATGACCTGTCGCCCCGCCTGGGGGTCCGATGCACCCGCCGCTCCGCCTGGGGGGCCCGATGCCTGTCGCCCCGCCTGGGGGCCCGATGCCCTGTCGCCCCGCCTGGGGGCCCGATGCCTGTCGCCCCCCCTGGGGGGCCCGGCGCCCGCCGCTCCGCCCGGGGGCCCGATGCCTGTCGCCCCGCCCGGGGGCCCGATGCCTGTCGCCCCGCGCCGGGGGCCCGATGCCTGTCGCCCCGCCCGGGGGCCCGATGCCTGTCGCCCCGCCCGGGGGCCCGTGCCTGCTGCCCCGCCCGGGGGGGCCCGTGCCTGCTGCTGCCCCCCGGGGGCCCGATGCCTGCTGCCTCCGCCCGGGGGCCCGCTGCCTGCTGCCCTGCCCGGGGGCCCGGTGCCTGGCTGCTCCACCCGGGGGCCCGGTGCCTGCTGCTCTGCCCGGGGGCCCGCTGCCTGCTGCTCCGCCCGGGGGCCCGCTGCCTGCTGCTGCTCCGCCCCCGGGGGCCCGGTGCCTGCTGCTCCGCCGGGGGCCCGCTGCGTGCCTGCTGCTCGCCCTGGTAATCCGATGTGCCTCTGCCCGAGTGCCCGATGTGCCTCTGCCCGGAGTCCGCCCGATGTGCCTCTGCCCGGGTCCAGCCCGTGCCTGCTGCCCGATGTGCCTCTGCCCGGGTGGCCCGATGTGCCTCTGCGGAGTCCAGCCCGATGTGCCTGGGGCCCAGCCCGATGTGCCTCTGCCCAGAGTCCTGCCCGATGTGCCTCTGCCCGGAGTCCAGCCCGATGTGCCTCTGCCCGGAGTCCAGCCCGATGTGCCTCTGCCCGGTGTGCCGCTGCCCGGTGCCTCTGCCGGAGTCCAGCCCGATGTGCCTCTGCCCAGAGTCCAGCCCGATGTGCCTCTGCCCCAGCCCGATGTGCCTCTGCCCGGAGTCCTGCCCGATGTGCCTCTGCCCGGAGTCCTGCCCGATGTGCCTCTGCCCGGAGTCCTGCCCGGTGTGCCAGTCTTTGATATCCCGCCAGTTACCAGACCCGGGCGGTGGAACATTTTGTCCAGCTAGGACTGTTTGGAGCGTCCTGAGGCCGCTCCTTGAGGGGGGGGTACTGTCAGGAATGGACTGGCCAGCAATAGTGGGACTCAGCTGCCTTATGAGCTGCAGTACCAGGGCTGGCCAGCGGGTGCTCCCAGCAATCAGAGACTCAACCTTGCAGCCAGTCAAACACCTGGAACTAATTATACTGGTGTATTTAAGGGACATTCAGACCTGCAGACTCTGTCTTGGTGTTGTGTTTCTCTTGGGCCCTGCATCCTGTTCCTGCTCCCTGTTCCTGTCTGATTCTCTGCTGACCCTGCTCTGATCCCTGGCTTGTCTGACCATTCTCCTCTGCCTGACCCTCTGTACCACGCTGCCCGCTACCTGCTGAACCTGGCCTGTGACCCCGACCATTCTCCGCTTGCTCCCCCTGTACCTACCTGCCCAATTGATATTGACCCGGCCTGCCTGACGACGCTTGCATTGTATGTACTGTTATCTGTGGGTGGTTGGTTTGGTTTGTTTGCACTGTGTTATGTTTTAGTATTGCACTGCGTTTATGTTTGTATGGTTAGTGTTATTAAATTACATTGTTTATAACATATCTGAAGTCTGCGTTTCCCTGCATCAGTCACACACCTCTGGTCATACCCGGGAGCCCTGACAGCAACAGAGAAATAAAAGAAAGGAGTTAAGAAGGCAGAATACTTACAAAGTCCTGGTTTTAGCAGAGTCCAATTGTCCAAGCAAAGATGTTGCCTTGGCTCTCAAGTCCATTAAGGTGTTCCTTAATTGATGTTAAATGAGAGCTCCATCTTTACAAGTCCTGTCAGTCCCTTTCTATGATATCAAGGGGGTGTGGACAGAGACCAGCTGACCAATAATCCGATTTAAGGGATGGGTGATAGGAGGTTACCAAATTTACAACCAATTCCCAAATACAGTTTTACATTAATATTAGTAACCTCTAGTACGGGCAGGTGGTATTCTAGCAACTGGCAGATTAATATTCAGAATTATATTTCGATCCCAGGGATACCAAACACAGCGTACCTTTGTCACCCAGGAGGGATGAGACTGCTTTCTCCCCTTTCCTATGTGCTAACATAGTCATGTTTGACCTTGATTTGTTTGGTATGATATTCCCTATTCAAATATATACCTAATATTAATGTGCCCTGTTCCTGTTGAATTCTATGAACTGTATTTGGAATTGTTACATGTGGAATAGATATTTTATGGCACGCTCTGCATTCCTAGAGCCTTAATGGCCTTTCAGGTCATGTGTGACTGCTTGACTGAGTTATTATTGTTTTACGATAGGGCAGAGGAAAGTGTTTTCCATGGTTTGTGGAAAACAGACATCTTGTCAAAACTAATTAGCTGTTACAGCCATGGAAGCTGGCATCTATTTGTGTTTTAATTAAGATAAGGCTCTTTTGAAGTTTTTTAAAAGTTACAGCTACAAATTCCATTTTTCAGGAGGAGGGAAGAGAGGAGGAAGATTATTGCTAATGAAAAACAAAAATGGCTGTTGCGTACAGGTTCCATGTCCCTATCATGCACAATCGTTACAGTGTGCACCTTGCTATGGGGACACTTGGTAGGGGGGAGGGGCAGACAGTGCCAGAAGAGGACCCAAGAATAGGAGAATTGGGGCTGCTCTGTGCTAAACCATTGCAAAGAGCTGCTTGGTATAACATATTTGTTATTTTAAAAAAAAATAAAACGTGAAATAAATCGGGTCAGTCATAGTTACATTTCATTGTAGACTCTCCTACAACATTGTTCATGAAAGCTGTTCCAGGTATGGTTGGCTTCTCTATTGGCAGTATCCAGGGATGGTTGACCTATCTATTGGTATCACATAGGGATGGTTGACCTTTCTATTGGTAATATCTATGTATGCTTGACCTTTCTAGTAGAGCTGTTCTTTAGCAACAAATATAAAACTTATTCCTGTGTTATTCCAGTATACCTGCCATGAGAGAAATAGGCAGGCTGCAACTGTTCTCTATTTTTTGAGAATATTGATCCTCTAGCCATCATGCTGATGTTTTGGCTTCATTGCTTTCTTTTGAAACACCGACCTGACACATATAAAGAGAAATCTGAAACTTATTTACAGCATGCATGTTCTAGGTTTGTTACTTTAAAGTATTAAAACCAGAGATAGCCAGGCATTCAGCATTTTCAGAAGAAGGGCAGAACCAGCAGTCCCATTGCTTTAAAGCATATTTTCAAATCATGATAAAGAAATTATCTACATTCAATGGTCACTTAAGTAGGTACACTTCTTTTTTGCTTGGTAACACAAATTGCTAATCAGCCAATCACATGGCAGCAACTCAATGTATTTAAGCACCTAGACGTGGTAAAGACAACTTGCTTAAGTTCAAACTGAGCATCAGAATGGGGAAGAAAGGGGATTTACAGAAGAATAGAGCAGGGCACCATCTGAATGTGTGATAAAAACAGCAACACTTTATTGTAGCACACTTACATCAGAGCAACTTGTGAACAGCTCTAATGATCAGGATGACATGCAGATGCAGCTCTCTCCAATGAGGATAGATATTATTTTATTTACTTGTGCAGCTCTTCTTATTGTCATTCTTAAGTGTACTGTGCATTTGTTTACCCATGTGGAGGAGACTTTGCAGTTGTATAGCCTCTCATAGTGTATACTTTCCCTTACAATCCCATTCCATCATTGCACTGCTTAGCCTTCTCAGTGGTTCACAATGTTCATCTAGCTTCTGCCATTTTTCTGATTGCCTCTTTTGGCTGGGAAAACAGCCTATAAATTTTCTTTCTCCCCCCTGGGCAGACCAGCCTGATAAAGGAAAATGGAGCCTCAGAAACGCAATGCAATGCCCATCTGTCACTCTTTTCGGAGCCTGTCACACTTGTGTTGGTTGGCGGCATGCGGAGGGGAGACACACTGCCGGCATCCATCCATGAGCGGATCACCGTCTGTGCCTTGCAGCTGATCATAGTCTAAACCCAGTAGTGTATTTAGGTTTTGTGCTGCCCTAGGCAACACGAAAATCGTTTGCCCCGACGGACACCAACCAACACCCCCCCACCCCCTCCCGCAGGGAGAGCCTGACACTGACCAACAACCCCCCTGCCCCCCACCTGGGAGAGCATACCACTACCCCCCCCCCCCCCGGCAATAGAGAGATACTCATCTTCACAGCTCCAGACATCCCCGGGAACGAGAGTCGAGCTCTACATAGACCATCAAGCAGCCTGCAGCCTCTCTCGGATCCCACCTGGTTCTCATGGTGCGCGTGTCCCTTCTTTCATCCATTCTTCTG